ATCAAACATTCACACCAACACACATACACAACAAAAAGAAAACAAGTAGATATAATAGAAAAAGAATAGAGAAAGCTAGTGTTAGAGGCCTTTTTTAAAGAAAACAAGCAATTGGAAAACGAATAGAGAGTGCAAGTGTTAGAGGGTCAAGTCAACAAATAGATAAAATAGAATTACAATAGAGAGTGCTAGAGTTAGAGGGTCAAATATAGATGGAAGAGATGTGTTTTTAGCTGTTTCTTGAAGATGGCTAAGGACTCAGCTGCTCGAATTGAGTTGGGCGGTTAATTCCACCAGGAGGGAACAGTTTATGTATGTATATATATATACAGTGGGTACGGAAAGTATTCAGACCCCCTTAAATTTTTCACTCTTTGTTATATTGCAGCCATTTGCTAAAATCATTTAAGTTAATTTTTTTTCCTCATTAATGTACACACAGCACCCCATATTGACAGACAGACACAGAATTGTTGACATCTTTGCAGATTTATTAAAAAAGAAAAACTGAAAAATGCTCAGTATTTAGTAGAAGCACCCATTTGATCTAATACAGCCATGAGTCTTTTTGATGCAACAAGTTTTTCACACCTGGAATTGGGGATCCTCTGCCATTCCTCCTTGCAGATCCTCTCCAGTTCTATCAGGTTGGATGGTAAACGTTGGTGGACAGCCATTTGAAACTCATGAATATTCATGTATGCCCCGCCCACTGAAACCAAAAATCTCGTAACACCGTTCACACCCTTGGACTTGGAACTATTGCACTATCAGTGAGTACGTTTACATGGACAACAATACTCCGATTTTAATACGATTAAGACAATACTCTGATTAAGAATCTACCATGTAAACAGAGATTTTTGATTAACATTAAGTTACCTTAATCCGGCTGAAGTCATAATTGAAGTAAACAGAAATCGAATTAAGACATGTGGAGTATTCCTATTTTAGTCGCATTACTTAAGTGCAGAATAGATATGTAAACACCTTAATCACATTATTGCCGTCGTGTAGGACTTTTCGCCACATTTTGAGACGGGATACACACACGGCAGTGGTCAACCGTTTGACGGCAAATAAAGAGCTTCAACACCGCCATCGTCTGTATGCACGTTCAAATAATTAACTGCACTTGAAACTTTCATAAAATTACAAATGACACACCCAAAACTGTACATGGCATCATCACGAAGACTAACTATATGTTTATACGTGAAATTCTGGAGGGGACGTCGGATGGCGTCACGTGGGACGTAATGACGTGTGCCATTAATCGAATTATGTACTA